TGGTGGTTTAACTTTAATGATATATTGTGGCTTGGAATGATTTATTAAATGAATATCTAGCAATGAATATCTTGGATAAATCAAACAGTTTCTAGGTTGAACAGTTTAACACATCATATCTTGTGTAGATACAAAATAATCATTGCTTTATTAAAACCTATGGAATTGAGCCCGTCTGATAACGTACTTTTCTAAGATTATTTTTGAGTGAATATAAAATAATCAAAATATTAAAACTGTAACGGAATAGCATTTGAACAGTCTGATCCGAATTGGAGTCCACGGTTGCAGTATATTCAATATTAAATTTGAATAATTCTGAAAAATAAACAATTTTGACTGTTACCAAAACCACTGTAACTGCTTTTGGATAGTCAGGTCAAGATCGATATGGCGTTCCGAAGTTTTTAATATCCGTTTATAGAGAGGTTAGAAGATGAGTGATACAGTTGAGTAACAAAAAGATGACGACATTTGATGGTTTCTTAAGATTCTTCCAAAAATATACGGTCAACCCCGCTTGAAGAAATACCATTGGTTTCAATCAACACTATTCAATTCAGAGATAGTTTGATAAAAAAAAATTTAAAAAAAAAAGAGAACTGCATTATTCAATTTAAAATGCTTATTTTTTACGAAATTTGGTGTGGTATCTAATGCACAGTAAAGCGTTTTGTTTTATAAACTCAGTTTTATGATCAATGAACAATTATAATTTAAACTGTCTGTGTTAGTATTATACAATATAAATGTCATTTAATAACAATATATCATTATATACAATTAAAATTAACAATATAAATGTCATTATACAATTAAAATTAACAATATAAATGTCATTAAAATAAATCTATGCTAGTGAAAAAAAAATACAGGTTCTTTAATATTTTTTTGTTCTTTTCAAAAAAATCTGTATTTGAAGACTTTTATTTTCCCTTTCTTTTTTTACTAAGACTTCAATGACTTGCGTATTCCTTTCATACACTATCAGATTTTTTTAATACTTAAAACTTGAGAAATTCCTAATTAATTTACTGTTTTAATTTGGGATTTTTTAAATTCCTTTCTTTCAAAACTTTTATTTTTTTCTCGGTTATTTCAAATCATTCCTTTTCACGATCATCTTGTATTCACTTGAGTAAGCAATGATTATTCTACTTTAGAGAATGACACACTATACACTAGTTTTTGAAACTTTTTCTTATCAGAGCACAACAGGAGGGGACCATAAGTCTTCACTTTATTCGAACTGTTGTGTGAGTGAAGTAAGTAAAGAAGGGTAAAACCCTCTTCATTCACCTCGACCAGCAACAGTAATAAATGCTTGGGCGAACATGTTGAAAAATGGCAGGCAATGGATAGTCCTCCAATTTGTCTCGGATACGATGTTGACCAAACTCCAAGCTTAAACAACTTCTAACATTTATTGTGAACACTGCCAAGAAATGTTGATTTTATGAATAGAAATATTTATTGTTTCAATATTTCGCATTCGTGCCTTCGTCTATTTGGATCTTTCATTCCTACGCTACAAAATACATGTTCCACCATGATGCCAGATCGTAGAATTCTCCTTTATACACATAGTTACGTCACATAAATTCCAAAAAATTATTTGAGATCAGGCTGTGAGCTAGTTATCCTGCAATAATTTGTTTCCTTTTTGATATTTTGAAAACATTTTATTCAGTATTTGAAACTTTATAGTTTACTTTAGGTTTGCCTGAACTCAATTTTCCCTCAACTGGAAATTTTCAAATACTAGTTGCCATGTAAAGTTTCTCCTCTTACCTATTCATATTATACACCCTTGTGCAAATTAATTGAAACAAACTTTTTTTTTTCGTGTTTTTTAAAGAAGATGTTTTGGGGTTGTTTCGGTTACAATGGGGTTGGACCTTTGCAGCCTATTGACAGAATGATGCGTTCTGAGCAGTACATTACTATTCTGGGTAAAAAAGTTGTTCCAGAGTTGAAGAAACGATACCCTGATGGAACAGGGATTTTTCAACAGGATTTAGCTCCTTGCCATACGTCCAAAATTGTCAAGAAATTCATGTCTGAGAATCAAATTGAGACATTGGAATGGCCAGGGAACTCTCCGGATATCAACCCAATTGAGAATCTCTGGGCCATATGCAAGAATCGCCTATTAAATATGGACTGTACAACT